GTAGTGGCATAATGGGAACAGGCAGCGAAGAAGAGGTGCTTGAGACTTAGAGATCACAGTGTTCGAAGCAGCTAGACAATCGAGGCTCTTGCTTTAAGATTGAGACACCAGCTCAGATGTCGTAGGTCAGTGGGTGCTTCGGTCAGACGCATGCTTGGGTGTGAGAATTGTCTGTAAGTGTACAGTTGAAATGTTGAATTCTGTACTAATCATGTGTGTGTGGGAATCCATTTCACATTGTCATATTTTGAAGAGAGTATAAATCTTCTTTACTCCATCTTTTGTGGATCTGAGTCCTGATAAGATTTTTGTAAAAAGGCGAGGTAATCTTTTGCTAAATATTGATACATTATTTTACCGTCTCATTTTATGGTTGGAGAGTATCTTCATGCTGTGGAAGTTGCAGTCTCTTTGTGGGTAGGGGGTTGATGATAGACTAAGACAAAAGCTTTGCATGTGAGATTGTATGTATCTCTTCAAAATCAAATTCGTTCTACTTTTATTCAGTACAAGAAGGGTTGTCTTGAATCCATTCTCTAAGGTAAAATCCACCAACTTGAAAAAGAGGTTGTTACTTACAGTGCAGAAAATATGTAAAAGACCATACACTACAGATGCCTATTTGTTGACCGTACATGATTTAAAATTATTACATAAACTTTAGAATATTTTCTTTAGAAGTGTAACATACATAAATACACAAATTTATAATCTTTACTTAGATCATCATAATTATAATTATTACTTTGAATAGAAAAGATATTGTTTCGATTTAAGTCAAGTTTTAAGCAGCATAATTCTTATTGTTAGATTGGTGAATCCATGATTTTTGCGCTTATTTTTTAATGTTTAAAATATATCTATAAAATTTTTCTGCATAGCCATGTCAATGTATAATCTATTACAGTGGCCGAAATGAATAGTTGCATTGAATTGATTCATTGTTTTCAATCTATTTTTCGAACCTCTTATTCCAAATTGCATTTAATAAAAATAGGTGCTCTATATTTTGTAAATTACAGGTGTTTGCAATTATTTTATAGTGTAGAAGTGATTGCAGATTTTGTTGCGTAACATGCAGCTTTCTTGTAGTACATGCAAATAATAATGTTAATTAAATATTAAAACTTAATATGAAAATAAATAAATAAATAAATAAACGAATAATAGTTGAAAATGGAAAATGAAGAATAATCAAGTAGTGGTGCATTACAACAAGTAATTTTGATGCTGTCACATTTCAGTTCCAATTATTGGAAATTCATTCCTGCCTCGATATTATATCAATAAATGTATAAAAATTTGCAAATGGAAAGGCTATGAAATATAATAAGGTATTTCAAGCTGAACAACTTAATTTGAACATGTACTAATTATGATATTTTTTGATGAGTCTTGATTTAAAATTTTTGATATTTCAAAATAAAAATAAGAACCATACTTCAATGTCGTGAAAGACTAATATACATTTCTTAAATGGAATCACAATAAGCCGAATTATTTTATGGATTTATTTCTACGTTATTCATTAAGAACAAACGTGATAATACAACAGGACAACATACAATTCCTTTGCTCATGTGAAAATATTTTCATATGACAATGCAAAAGAATATGGGGAAACCAAAATATTACAACACTGTGGTATTACTTAATCATGGCTGCATCTAAACATTGTACATTGAGATTTTGTCTAAAAAACTTTATATATCTAGTAAGTATTTCAAAGATAATGTATCAATATAATACAAATCATGAATAAGAATTTGTAACTAAAAGTGAAAGTTTGTATAAACAGTAACGAAAAATTGAAAACAACTACTTATAATACAATGACATGTGAGAACATTTCATTCTAAAAAAGCAATAATGCATCAAGAGACTATATATATATACACTTATATAGAAAGAAAATAAATAATTCACAAAAAAATTCCAAAGTTTCAACAAAATAAAAAAAGAGTAATAAAAGTTTTTTTTTTTTTTTTTTTTTTTTTTTTACAAAAAAAACACTGTAGCATTATATATCTCTTATATAAACACTGTAGCATTATATATCCAAAAAAAGCAATAAAAAAAACACTGTAGCATTATATATCTCTTTTTTATTGCTTTTTTTCATTCTAAAAAAGCAATAAAAAAAAACTAATATAAAGATTTTTGGTACTCTATTATGAATCTATGCTATCAATGAAATACCATAGCTAAACTATAGTAACTAACTATAGTATACTATGAATGTAATTCCATAGCTAAAAAATGCTATCGACTCTATGAAAGTAATTCTATAGCTACACAATGGTATCTACAATATGCAAGTAATTCCATAGTCAGTCTATTTTATGCCGATCATTAAGTCCTCAAAATTTGAATGTTACTAATTTAATAATCATGAATGGCACACACTGTCTTGAATCAAGAAACTACCTAAGTCTTGAGAAGTTTTGTTAAATCATGAAGAAGAAGGATTTTGAGGCATACTTGGTATTTGGCCAATTCCTCAAGAAGGACTTTGGCTATAGCTTTGATTGTATATTGAGTTGGATCTCAAAATGGATTGCCTTTTCAATTCAGGCCAATCATCTTAAATTGCCCTAGTAGTACTTAAAGAAGAAGTTAAAGCTGAGATCACTTCCTCAACAATAACAAGGTTGATATTCAAATCAATATTGGTTAATTGATCCCATGATACTATTTTTTATGCTTCTTGTGATGCTAAAATTAAACTCATCGGGTGTATACAATGATGTATTGTGTTTTGCTTTATCATGACTGATGTATTAATGGATACAAAATAGGAGACATTGTCATCTTGAGTAGTTATAGCTTTTAATCATTATTTGGTGTCAAGGTTTGTAGTTGGTGGTATTAAGTCTAAAAGTGGATATTGTTCTAGAATAGCATGGAAGTAAGAACCTATTGATGGAATGACCAATTTCATCACTTGGTGGAAAAGAACTTGAAGTAGTGGTAGAGATGGCCTTTTGGTTGTTGCTATTGCAATAAGTGTAGGACCTACAATGTCAAGAGATTTGTTCTAAGAGACATATATAATAAATATAGAATTTTAGTTAGTATTATTAATAGAAATAAGATGTACCAAAGCAACCATAGGTAGTATGTCTTTATTCAATATGCTATTGTAAGCTTCAAGTTCTATAGATAAGTTAATATTTATAAAATTGAATGAGATAAAGTGGATATCCATCTTATAACTGGACCGAGTTTCTATCGCAAGAGATGATTCCAAGAGAAGCATAGCTTATGGTAATGCATGTGAAATTTTTCTATGGCCATGCCAACCGACTCTTATAAAATCTTCTTCATCAATATGCACCCTTTTTTGATATATGCATCATCCAAGGTGTATCAAAGAATGGTCAACATTATAGCAAGGGCCTCCAATGTCTTGGTTTATAGGTCTCTTATCTCAAAGGATGTGGTAACTTGCTCTAGGTCTATGTGGGCAAAATGTAACCTTATAGTACATATTAAGGCAAAATTTGTATTTGATAAGTAAATAAAAAGTCGATCCATATGGTAATTAGATAATGATTTATTTGATCTTCAATCTCAAGTTTTATTTTTCAACTATAATTTGTGTTAAGAATTACATAAAACCTTGATTCAACAAATAGATTATTACTCATTTCAGTTGCAAAAACTTTATTGAGGTTGCCCGCAATGATTGTCGCAACACATGCAAATTGTATGGGTAATTTTTTAAGTGTCATCCAAGTTGGTATTGACATACCTCTATAAGTCGTGGAGTTGAAAATTATTGTCCATTGCTAAAAAATACAAAAGATAAAACCAAAGCAATATGAAGTAAGCACTAGAAGTTGATAAACAACTTCCTTATTAGAGGTCTTCAAACAAGAAAAATCCACTGTCTAAATTTTCAGTTACAACTAGTGATCTACCTCCATGACTTGAATTTAGAATGAAGAGCCAAGTTACAAAAAGTGGCAAGGTGAGCTTTCCTTCTATGAAGTTGGCTACCACCATATAGTCCTTGAGGTATTGCATTTGAGCAGCCTCAATATCATGAAGGATCAAAATGTATTTTTATTTTAATTTTTAATTTTTTAATTTTTTATAATTAATTAAAAAATTGACATTATTACTTGTAATTCTTTTAGGAAGACATTTCCTTTTTATTGGTATAGTAGGACTAAGTGACATTCCTTTGCATTGGTTGCAAATTGAGTCCACTAGATCTTCTTTCTTATTGTCAACCATTTAGAAATCTCTCCTAGTAGACATAGATACATGTCGGCTATTAGTGCAAATTGCATAAGCTTAAGAAAGAGCCATGGCCTAAAACCCTAATTTCTAACCCTAAAAAACTTGTTGAGGAAAAATACCAACAAAGATTAAATCTCCATAGCAAAAGAAGGCGATTTTTAAAAAATTCACTAATGCAAGTTAGAATAAGGAAGTGAGTATCAAAATATGTGTTAGAAGCTATGCAAAATAATATGAGAGGACAATTCTATCACAACAAGCAGCGTCAATACGCCTCCTAAACAAAATCCTAACTCCCATAATTTATAGAGCAGTATTGTGACCTTCAGATGGCCATTTCTAAATTTATTTAATGAAAAAATAAGTTGTAAGAAAGAAACAATGATTACTTAGATGATGACATCTAAAGTATCTAAAGACAAAGAGGTGATGCAAATTAATATTAAAAAGCTTTCCCACACCATGGCACTAAAAAAAGACATATCTAACATTAAGCTAGTAAAAAATCTACTTTTGCCATCAAGCAAGACATCTATTGTCTTTGCAACATTGCAATTGGAGGGAGGAGAGAGACCCCATGATGAAATGAAATGAAAACTTGAGGTGATGCAAACAAAAAAAGTAAGAACGGATACAACCAAAGGGCACTTTTTCTAACCATGGCAGCGCCTTTTTATGCAAGAACATGGTTTGTAAGAAAACTGGCACAGGTAGTAAGATGAGAAAAATATGTACACATACTACGCGAAAGATGAGCAACAACGGCAACAGTGAAGTCGACCGAATAGAGAGGTTCCAAATGTAGCTCGTCCTCTTTTTGTTAAAAACAAATGTCTCTTACATATACACCGACTGTGTTTGGCCTGCAATCCGCAGCTATGGCGATGAATCTGTGATCCTGGCCATCTAGTTGGTTCTAGTGGCGTGCTTTGACACAAGCTTTACATGGTTTTTGCTGGTTGTGATCTCCAATTTCTACCTACAATTACAATTGGCTGGGGGCTGAGTGAGTGTTCTCGGCAGCGGTGTTCACGGTCGCGTCCTTCGCAGCTACAGCCTTCTCAGCAACCGTGTTGTATGTCTTCCCTGCGGCATCTACAGTCGCATCCTTGGCATCAACAGCCTTCTGTGCAGCAGCATTGTGTGCATTCGCTGTCGCTTCGACAGCCGCATCCTTCGTTTGCACCGTCTTTGTGGCAGCAGCGTCGTAGGTATCAGCGGCTGCCTGAACTGCCGTGTCTTTGGCTGCCACAGCTTTCTGAGCAACGGCATTGGCGGTGTCCGCAGCGTAGTTATATGCCTCGTTGGCCTTTTCCACAGTGACGTCCTTGGCGGCCAAGATCTGATCCTTTGTGGCACTGGTTGTGTCCGCAGCCTTCGTCGAGGCAGCATCGTAAGTCTCCATAGATTTCTGCACCGTGGTATCCTTGGCATCCACTGCAGCATTGGTGGCTTGCTGGGTCTTACCCACCACCGCATCCTTCACAGCGTACGCAGTTTGAAGCACCGTGTCTACAGCCTGTTGGACGTATCCCTTGGCGGCCTGCGCACCCTCCGCGCCCTTCTCCTGTCCCGCGATTGCCATGTTTCTCATACCCTCCTGGGCCTCGCCAACCTTTTGCTCTGTCGCGTCTCTCGTCTGCTGACCGCCAGAGTACGCAGAATCCTTCGCGGCGACGGCATTGTCGACAATAGTGTCCGTGGCGGACTCGGCGGTGGCACCCACTTTGTCCGCCGCATTCTGCAAAGCGCTCTTCCCTTGCTGCGCACCATCTTGGATCGAGTTGGCGACGCTCTCGTACCCGGATTTGGCTGCGCCATCTGCCTTGGAAGCCTCTTGTTTACTGTAGTCGCTAACATCAGCTGCTGCCTGTCAAATCCCGCACACATCTCAACTGTGAGCACACCACCCTAGAAGAAAACGAGAAAGGGAAAGAACTCGAGCGCACACAAGCTCGATGTCGAGATTGCACTTCGACAGGGAGAGGATCCTCGCTCTTCCGCACAACAGGGAACAAGACAAACCCAAATCCAGAATGTGATAGCGAAATCGTGCTCACCTTCTGCGCATTGTCCTTGGCATTGGCGTAGGTGTTCGCAACTTTGTCACCGGCCTGCCTGGAGTAGTCCTGCGCGACGTCGGCAGCTTCAGCAGCCTTCGCCTTTCCCGCATCACCAGCATGTGCGGCAGCATTTGAAGCATCCGCCATGGTCCTGTGGGCATCGGCCTTCCTGCAAGACACGAAAGACCACAATTGAGAAAAGCTGTACCACTTTCAGGCCCACCAATCAGCACCCTTCAACCATTCCGAACCCAGTCGGAACAACAGCTCGATCGTTCCCGGGAGGAGGAAAATGAACACCACAACACCGTTGCCCGCTCAATATTCATCCCCTGCTACGGCCCAATCCTACAACAACGATGCGACATCGCAACTCGAGCATCGAACATACCCCTGGTTGGCAGCATCGCTAGCATCGTAGCCGGCCATTTTCTCACTCGCGGCCTCAAGTCGCACGAAGATTCAATGCTCGAGACTGATCCAGAAAACAGACCGTCGCCTCTCTCTCAGGCACGGTGCGCTCGTCTCAGGCACAGGACAACTCCCCGAACGGTGATCGGTGCTAACCCCGAATACGAACAAATACAAGCAAATACGAACAAAAGGTGGTGCGATCAAGCGAGACAAACAGCTGGGGCTCAACGAAAATAGAAGCTGTACAGAATTGTGAAGTCGATGGACATGGAAACTGTTAATATGGTGGGGGTTTCGGGAGCGGGGTCGCCTCAGAATCCCCCGCGTGTCCAGATCGGGAAGAGCTCGATCCATTTGCGGCCACCGAGTGGCGGCCACTTGGCAATGGCATCGACGACGACCAAGGGGGGCCCGTGGCCGTGAATGACACGTGTCGGCGACAGATCGGTGCGTCGCCGGGTGCGGGAACGGTGTCGGCGGCCGGCGCGAGCAGAGGCTGGAACGCGAGGCGACGTGGCTGGTCCTCGTTGGGTTCTGAGGGGTCGGGGCTTGGATGACGTGAACCGACAGAGATTCGGGTCGACCATGTGAACAATGGGGTACTGCTTTTGGCAAATACCCAACCCAGCTGTTCATTTGTTTCATGTGGAAGAATCCATGATATTGTTTTTAAAGGTACTTTGTTTTTAATTTTTAATGTTAATTTTAATTTTTTTGGCACAAGTGAAAAAGATTTCATTTTAAGGAGTAATCAATACATAACTAGTCTAAAATTGAGTTAAAAAACCTTTAGACTTACATAAGTGGACCAATGACTCCAACTAAAATTAATATCACAACCTATGAGTTGGGATTGGATAAACTAATTCAATCGTCAAGAACTATTACTATACCAACGTAATATATTATCCGTCTTGGTGCATAGCACCTTGTTTTTTCTCCCAGATATTGTCAAAGTGTTCAAAGAAGAATTCTACTGGGACTTCATCAACTTGTATGGTTAATCAATCTCACTTAATGCAGCCATAGTCCTATAGATGTTGCCGCATCTTAGTAGTAGTTTATTCCAATGACCAATCGTCAACGTTAAATGCCATCGCATTTTGTTTGAGCTAGAGCTCTTATAGGGTAATTCCACTAAGTAGTGTCCAAATTATGTTGAATTTTTCAAATCGCTTAAATAGGGATTTTAAGAATAAGCATTGTCGCCAACCAAATTTGAGTGGAGACATTGGAGTACCTAGTTTTCTTTCCAATGCTTGAATGAGTGAGCCACACCAATTCCATGTGCGCACCGCCTTCAAACAATTACAAAACCAGTGCAAAATGGTCTTTGGAATGCCAAGGCAGAATGAGCATGACATATCATTATTAAGATTAGTTTTGCTATGCCAATTATTTACTTCAATTGCCTTATGGTAAACGCTCCATATGAAAGTGGCCACCTTTTGTGCGTGGTGCTTAAGTCAAGTATTTTTCCAATTAAATTTGATATTTAGAGGAAGTTGATTTTTTGTATTTAGATGCATGAAGATACATTGGATTATAAGGATTTGTTAGGCAAGCCCTTGCATCTTTAGTCTTGAAATCTAAGAAGAGTGTTTTTTCAAGCCATTGATACCATACATGGTCAAATTTGAATCCGTCAATTGAGCCATAGAAAAAATGAAAGAGTTATTATTGCAGACTTTTAGTCACATTAATGACTCACATTCAACATGGAAAACAATAAAGGCGAGAGCCTTTGGAACTTTTAGTTGATTACGGACATTATACCGCGAGTGAAGTCTGGAACCACAAGTTGATGTATTAGACTTGAGATAGTAGATGCGAGACTGTTGTGACACTAAAGAGTTTTCCTTGAATGTTGTTTGTGGTAAGGATTGCTTCTTGATTGCATTGTGGGAGGAAACAATGTCCCATACTTAGGACTAAAATTGGAATTAGATCTGTTGGTAAAGAAAGCAAATCGAGTCATTTTTTAGCATTGGGATTTCTAATCCTAATGTTGAGGAGATAGTTGTATCAATTCTAGATGGTAGTATAAATGATGTTCCATCCTTGTTCTTTATTGTTATTAAGGAGACATTTTTGTTTGGCTTCCGGCCATGAGAAGAGACTTCTTGATTGTTTTGAACAATAGTCGTTGATTCTTTGTAGGCCATAGTTAAAGAGTTTTGAAGCACAATAACGAGAGAATATGAGCTAAATATTTTGATGAAACTCCTAGTTGTGCCATAACTCAATGTTCAGTGTCTCTTCAAATATGAATGGGTATTGGTATTCAAGATGGCCTATGATCCTTTTCTATGCTTAAGTGACACAATTATAGATTTTGGATACGAAAGCACTACAAAGATTTTTTTCAAAGAACCACAAAGGATTGGGCAACCACTTTCTTTTATTTTCTAGTTACATACAAACCAATTTGTATTTTCAAAAAAAATTTAGATTAGAATCTCCTAGCTCACAAGCACAAATAATCCATTTATTATGTAGAGCATTTATTGTATCATTTGGATTTATGAGGCTAAGCCTCTCTAATGATTTGTTATGGATACATGTATTCTAAGCAACTCTAGTGCAAGTTTTGTGTTTATATCCAGCCTACAAATAGTTTTTGAGAAAGCCCTTAATTTTCGTTATAACCTTTTTGGAGTCCATCCAAATTCCTATAGAATACCAAAGAATCAAGAGTAAGACTTGATTAGTAATAAGTTGTCTCTCAGCTAAGAAAAGCTTAGCTATATTCTAGTACGTAAGTTCCTTATGAATACAATTTAATAAAAAGTCATCCACATGTAGAATAGAGATATCCATTCCAAACAATATATCCAAAAGTTTGGCTATATTGCCTTCTTCTATCCAAATCCATTCATATTCATGTGTCTAAGCAGGTAAAAGACCTTGTTTATCAACCCAACAAACTCTTGATTTGGCCTAATTAATAATTAGTCCAAAGGCTTTGTTGAATGTGTCAAGAATTCTAATTAAGTTGGATACAAAAGATCTTTTTATTTTAACCATGAAAGAGGTGTCTTTTGCATATTGAAAAATAAGTTGTTGCAATGTAGAATTAGGTAGCTTTACTCCTTTGATCATGCCCCTAGATTGAGCTTGTTTAACTTTGGCATTGAGGGCCTCTTCTACTAATAAGAAGAGATATGGAACAATGGAACATCCTTCACATATTCCACAATTGATAGAAAATTTAGAAGTGGCTTAGCTATTAACATTAATTATGGCTTTGGCTCTAGTAAGGATAATAGATATCATATTTATGAATCCTTGGAGAAATCCCAAGGTAGTCGTTGTGTTAAATAAGAACTACCAATTGACTTTGTCATATGCCTTGGAAAAATTGAGCTTCAAGAAAATAGAGTTTTTATTTGGATTTCTTGGCCCAAGTCAAAGTCTCATGGATTAATAAAATATTATCTATGATAAATCGATTAAGAAAGAATGCACTTTGGTCATGATTTGTAATACTACCAATGTGATTCTAAAGTCTTTCTTGCAATATCTCTGCATAGATTTTATATGATACATTAAGTAATATAATAGGCCTCTATTTTTCTAGTATGTGCTTATTGCATGTTTTTGGAATTAGAGTAATAAATCCTTTAATTACGTACTTTGAAAAGGATCCTTGATTAATTGTGGTTTTGACCATTTATACAAAATCTGATCCAATGACTTCTTAATAATCAATAAAAAATTAGAATGCTATACTATTAAGTCTAAGAGCTTGCTTTGAAGCCATATAATAGATAGCTTGGCAAAGTTCTATTACAAACATGTTTTTTTTAAATTCTTCAATCACAAGTGGAGTGATTTGATTTACGAGTGTTTATAAGATCTCTCATTTTGTTGCTACTTTTAACATTGTATGGGACACTCCACAATATAGTGTAGAGAAGTAAGCTCTATATTCTTTTGTTATTATAGCTTGCTTGGTGATATTAGTGCCTAATTCATTAAATAATTTAGTGATATTAGATTTGATTGAGTATTAATAAATCATAGAAATAAAAACTCTTTGGTCATTGAATTGCCCTTAACTTTCTATCAAAGTCTTGATTGAATTTATTTTTCCATAGTCTTACGGGTTTCCAATGTAAATAGTTCCTCATTTCAATGTTCTACCAAACTCTATAGTTTGGTGTTATAAGGATCTTGTTGTAATATTTTTATGGATTGAGTTGAGGATTGAACGAAAAGACTTTTTTTTGTCTTTGAAAGTCCTCCATTTTCAATTTACTAAAGGTTTTGTATCTATGCATGAACTATTGAAGCCTAGTAAAAAAAAATGTAAAAGAAAAATGATGATTAACTTTTCATATTTGCTTCACCATCTATTTTATAGTTGTAGCTTGTAAGTATGAAGTGTTTATGTTATAAAAGCTCCTCCATCTCACTTCATCATCTAATACTAACTCGATTGAAAATTGACAAGTAATCAAAGATTATAATCATCCAAAATTTTGTAGTTATGCATTGTCTTCCATAGGCAGGGGTTTGTGTGTCCCAAAGTATAATATTTGTCTAGGTGTGCCATAATCTTATTTTTAACTTTTTCTTTTAATTATTCCATATAAAATGTAGTTTATCTTTGATCTACAAGATTGTATTACAAGGTATTTGAATGGAGACTATGTAATTGTGCTTATTTATATATTATTAGTTGGTTTATAAACTATATTTATGCCAAGTATATTATTATGGATGTATTAAAGGTTTTAGATTATTTAATATGAAAGTTAAAATGACATGGCATTGATAATTGAAGTAAATTTGAACAAAGTAGAAATTTAAAGAAGTTTATTTATGGAAATTTTAAAGAATTAGATTCACTTTCTAACATGTATATCATGAAAATTGTTGGTATTTTTACAAACACGATTTTTATGAATTTTGGATATGATTTTAAAATTCAATAGCTCTGTTATTGTATTTCAACATTAAATCTTTTTTAACTTAATTTTGATGTAATTAAACTTATCAAATAAAAAGAGTAAGAAAATCAAAGTGTATAAGTTTTTACTTCTTAATTATCTACTCAAATTTATTTCAACTTTGACTTTTAGTTTTGTAGTTCGACAAAGCCGATTTGGTTGAATCAATTAAGAACATTTTTTTTGGATTTTGGCATATATCATCTATGTTATTTTATGATTAATATTTCTTTTTATTCAATAGATGTTTCTTAAAAAACTTATTTATGAACAATCTCCCAATTTCATCTAACAACTCACATTTATATGAAGACAAAGGATGAGGTCTTAAAATTGAGGTCTTTGTATTTCAATCCTTCTTTATTAACAAAAGAACCAAGTTCATCATTTTAAATTATATATAAAAAAAAAAACTACCATGATTCCATTTCTCATTTGATGGTCAAATACATCTTGATATCATTTATCATAAAAAGAAAGAATTTATGCAAACTTTGTTGTATGACATTATCATTTGAGACAATAGTGTAGAATAAACACAAACCTTTTTTTAACAAGGGTTAAAAGAAGGACATAGAACTTATAAAAGCACGTAGGCAATGGTAGAAGTCAATGTTTAGGGTTAACTGCGTCTTAGCATATAATTTAGGAATTATCGATACATGATCAAAGAATGATATCAACTAAAAAAAATTGAACCATGCTTAGGCCATTTCCAATCCTTGTGGTCCCCGAGCTGTACAGAAAAATTCACAGCAGACAGTACATTATGTCATTTAGGTTTAGTTTGAAATATTGACTCATACAACTTTTGGGGTAGAGGCTCTAACGCTAATAATGTGATTAAGTGATAACAATTTCTAAAACATCACAGGAATCAATGGACCAGTTGGCACTGGAGACAACCGCTGATAATTCAACAAAACAAAATCAGCAGAAGATAATTGTACAACTCTATGACCTTGTGATCAGCTGTGCATTTCTTTGCATTCACTTCAAAAATCACTGCGTCATGAAACCTTGACTTCTATTTGGCAGATAAGCACAAGTATACCGAAAGCTTGTGCCCTGTACCGCTCCAATCTGTATATTAACACTGGAAAATGGTGCCAATGTAGTGTTACACTACCAAGGCCCATAGCGTTCATCTGATTACACAACAGTTTAAACTTTACATATACACAACAGCTAAAATTATACAAAGGTGGTAATAATTGACATTTATGTAGATGCTAACTACGGTCAAACGTGTGCGACTCGCACTTCTTGCAGCAAACCTGTATTACAAGATCGAGAGGGCGTTCTCTCAAGACGACAAAGACTGCATTCCGACCGTTTCCTCGAATAGCCCATGGCAAAATCCACTCAAGTTTTACTTGACTGTAAAATTTGGGGCCCGCAACGGATGTGTAGTTGAAGCTCTTTTTCAGATATTGACCTTGCTTTTACCTCCGCATCAAGTCTATGAATGCATAGACTGCAGGATCTTGGTCATTACGAGCCGAGGTGGAGCTCCTGCCAACCAACTCACGTCGCCAAGAGCAAAGTGATTATAAGGCAGAAAAATCAAGGTGCGGCCTTCTTTAAGTGGTAAGTCTTTTTCAGAAATTTGGTTGCCGATTCATCGCACCGGTAGCAGAGAACCCTTAATACAGTATTAGCGTCTGTTGCACTCCACTTCCCCGTGGTAGGCGGTATAGAGGCTGTCTTAGAAGACTTCTTGCCTCCTTGAGTTATAGACGCCAAGTAAATCTGGATCAATTCGCTGCTAGATATTTCAAACAATGTGAGAACCTGTGCAGCAGGTGCCACAATCTGTTCAACTTCGGCCTCCGGTAGGCCTTCGCCATCAGCCAGAAAAAGCTCTTTCAAAGCGTACATGTCATCCTTTATCACGTCAGCGTCCTCCTCTTTGAATGCCCGTGTTGGACCACCCGCCAAAAGAATTAGAAGAAAGCAATCAAAACAAGCCCTCATAAGAGCACCTGCAATGCGGTTCCTTAATCTTTCTGCACTAGTTTCTGCAATCTCTCCTAATTTCACTTCCAACTGTTCAAGAACACTAGGTATTCTTGCACTCGATGCATCTCCAACGTAAAGCCCATCCAAGAAGATATCTCTTAGGTCAGCAAATACGGCCCTGTAGGCTGCCAAATCGATCAATTGCTCCACGCCTTCCTCGATTGCACTTCGTGTCTTTTGAAATGTAAGCGAAATATCAACAGTTCTCTCGGTTGCTGGTGGAGGGACAGGTGTTTTCTTGCCAAAAATTCGACCAGATTTAGGAGGAATAGGCTCCTCTTTCATCCAACCATTTCGAATCTTCTTCTCCAAAGATTGAAGTTGCGTGTTTATATGCTCAATTGTGTTGATACGCACACATGTATTGGCCAGACTCTCTGTATCACTTACAATAGAAGATTTCCGAGGGTTTCGATACGCCTCTGACTTCCCTTTGCTCTTGTGGGAACCTAACCATGACTTACTAACCTTACACCGTGTAAGCGGAGGCATTGGAGGAATATAAGCGTCTTTAGATCCTGCGAAATTGAATAACATCTCATGAGGATTACCAAGCAAAAGTTGAAGACGCTATAGTTCTACGCTTACCAAGAAAAAGGTAAGCAGAGAACGAGTGAAATTCTTAAAACTTTCGCACCGTTAACTCACGCAAAATCGAAGTTTGAAAAAACAGATCATGTCTTCAACTGCGACAACATATTAACGTTAAATTGCAAAGCTGTTATTTCAACACATTACGAGAAACGGATGATAAACTGAGTAACTATCAGAGTAGAATGTTATCCAAAACTATTCTTTTACATTAAAATTTCCTTGGCATTCAGTGATCAACCAAAATGTTGCAACTAAATGACATTGATGGAATAACACAAACAGTACGTACCACAAGATTTCACTGTTTGAACTATGTAGTGATGTAACGCCTTATCCAAGCCAGATGCCAACTCTTGGAGCAGCTCAGGATACTGCTCCGCAGGCATTTCGAAGAAAGTATCCAGTGACTCCTCCACAATGCGCAACACTTCAACGGCTGATGGAGCATAGTTCTCTTTGTTGGCTGCAGGACTCCATTTCTAATACGCAGCCATTATATATCATCAGAAATCTAGTATGTTGCAAAGATCTAAGACACAACTATAGTTCTGAACATTCTTAACGATTTCCAAAAGTTGCATATAAGAAACATAAAAATATTACCTCTTGTTGAACGTTGCGATCTATCCACTCTGTAGTTTTTTCCACGTTGTCCTCCACCCACCTTCTTGTCAACTCTCCCATGGCTTGATCAGCCTCATAAGGTGGCATTTCTCGAATGAGGCTCTTTCCTCCATCGTCACATTCAGCCGCATCTTCGACAGCAATCCCGACAAGCCGTTTCTCAAGCTCATCGGCAGCTTTTAGTATTGCTACTGTATCAACAGTCATACCAAACATATTCGATAAATATTGCTTAAATTCTCGACTGTAACAACTATGAAGGGTGGCTGCTGCTACACCACCCGCATAAGGATGCCATCTCTTCAACACGGGACTAAAATTATCTACCTCGCTGATGGCAAGTACCATTGTATCCTGTGCTAAAACTGCTAGGGCTGGCGGAAGCGACCCAGAGCCCTTGAATGCTTTCCGTCTGGAATCCACTGTTTCCATCAACTGCAAAAAGAAAGTACTTCAATCACTTTTTTGACACTCTCAATCCCCAACAAGATTGGCTAACTTGGAGTGATACAACTTCCAGCAGTTTGGCAACCTGAAGTACTTAAATCACAGTTTATACAATATTTATAAAGAGATTTTTAAGTTCATATTCCAGCTCGCACTTCCTCACTTGGTTGCACCTTGATATCAAAATGACTTCAACTTCAGCTATTCAGCAAAGCCAGTAATTCTAAAAAAGTACTTAAGCATTCAGAATTAGTCATAATGGGAAGAAATCAACAGTACCTGAGCAAAGGCTGTTCTCACAGAAGAACGAACATAAACATCAACGCGGCTTAGCGGAACATTGACTACCTCCCTTCCACGGCCCTTGAACTCACGTGACACGTGCTCCTGCAATATTTGTGCACAGCCGACTGCTACTGCCAATAACCCTGCCATAATATCACTAGCCCCTCCAGGAAAGGAATCATGATACGCTAAGAGCCTTCTCTCCGCCCAAAATTGCATAGTGCTCAGTACCGATTTTAATAACGGCACCTGATCGGCTATCAGGTTCCCTTTGACATCTTTTCCCACCTGATCTAGTTGACGTTCAGAAAGCTGGAGGAGATTCACTGCAGATTGACCAGAGACAACAAACTGCCGGTATAAAACCCATGCAAAGAGTGTGTCATGCAATGTCTGGTCAATTCCCAACACATCCCATGTCTTCTTGATCATCTCAAGAACTTCTTCCATCTCTGCTATCACCTCGACCTCCTCGAGCGTGTCAAAGCATGCAGAAAGTAAAGCAACATATATATGTGCATTCAGAGGATATCCATCAGCCCAGTGTAGAAAATCCCCATGTTGACCATTATGTGCTCGAGTTGCCCTACCCATGGCTGCACTACGGAGCATTTGCATGATCTCGTTGCTTTTCGCTTTCTCTACAGTCCTGTGTCCATCAACCATATCCTGTAAAGCTTGCTTTAGCCGTCGCGCATCCATTCCCTCATCTCCTGGTACTAGAGGGTGAACAAGAAGACCGGCTTCTAATACTCTCAGCTGGCGCCTTAACCAACTCACATATTCTTTCTCATCTGCAAAGGCTGATGGACCAATATTTTGAAGGAGCTCCAAAGGTACAATTATCAAACCATTCCGTTTGCTAGCCTGCATTCGACAGACACCCCAAAACTTTAATAAGTAAAAAGGTACAGGTTTGCTAGCAGTTTAACAGTCATCCATGTCGCTATTCACGGTTTTTGTCTCTCTAACATCAATGTGAATTTCAGATCAATTGAGAGAGATCCATGTATTCCCCCAAACTGCCTACAGGAGATAACTAGCACACAGTGTATCATCGAAACGTTTCTACCAAAAATATTTCCGCAGAGGCGCAGATACACCATCATTTCACAGAAAAGCTACCCAGACAAAACCCTCAATCCAGACATCGAAAAATTTGAAGGAGAATTGAAAACAATTTAATTTTCAAGCAATGCAATACCTGTCCAGCGGTTGCTCGGGATAAAGCTTTCCGTATCCTCGTTTCACTTTGCTCAGAGATCCGCATCTGCGCCCTCAAAACATCCGTAATAGTGGGATTCTTTTTAGATTTAAAAGAAGACAAGCGTTGCATATCGCCAGAACCACCAGAGGAGTGCAATCCGAGTGCCCTCTTCATTTGACTAGCAGCAGAAGAGGTAAGTGACTTGTTGATATTTGGTTTAGCATCGAATTTTATACTCGTGTTCCTGAAGCTAATAGGGCTACTTCCACATACTGCAACCAGGATTTCGTAAGCTGTTTCTCGAATGTCATCACCTGCACGAGCAGAATTTCAGTATTTGGAAATCCACTAACCCAGACTTGTATGTTTGAGAAATTTAAGAATTCGCCTAATCTTCTGCTTCACAGCGTTTTTCTAAATAAGACGCAATCACTACATGAATCACTGTTCACATTACTATTGCATAGCTTCATAAAAAAATTCACACGGCAATTTGTTATTCATATTACAGTAGTATGGGTACCACAGTAAGCTAGGATGAATATAAAATAACTAGCAGCAAAAATACGTGTTACAGAAAAAGCAATCCCCAAGTTAACCTCTCAACTGACTAAAATGTTCGCGCTGAAATTCCGGCACATCTTCATAATAGAAAAGCAATGGTAAGTGCATGCCAAACATCAGACCGAAGTAGTGAAAAAACGCTTTCTTATACGCACCCGATAATTCGACTCGTAGGGGAGGAATTGGCGATCCCAGACGATCACTGGCAGGACCTGCTTCTTCTTGCTTCCCATTCTCGCCCTGCTTCTCGAAATTTCCTACTCTCTGCGTGGAAGGAGCCATTTCTGCCCTACCAAATCCTTTCAGAAGAGTCGAATCGGACCTAGACTTCACAAGGTTGAAAGAAGCATCCAACCTGGTGACCTTCACTCGCTAAGCTTCACCAGATCCCAGAGTTAAGTAACCTTTCAATGATTTTCATTAGCCCCCAAATCTCATAAATTTAAATTTAAGGGGTAGAGGAGCACTTAAATTTTTAAATGATAAAACTTAAAGAGGAGTGCCAGCTCCTTCTAATCCGTTTAGAAACGCTGTTTCAAATCACCTACGATCGTGTAAGTTCAGATGCTCCAATATGTATCCACTTTGATCAAAACGTCTCCATCTAAATCTCGGTCGAAGCTAAGCATACCTGAGTTAGTATGCAAGAAAGAATGGTCCAGCAAAGACAGTCTCACAACAACAATGCAGAAATCGAGTCAGATACTCACCTCTTGGCTTGCGCAAAGAGAGCGTGAACCTAAAAATAAGAATAAAAATAAACCTTACAGATTTCGCACTCGTACATGTTCCATGCCAGTCACTATTTCTCGCCTCTGCTTCAATTCAAAGCAACTCAACGACCCTAAAATCAACACACGCGAGCGCAAGAAAGCACCACAAATCACACTAGAGAGTTCCAAGAGGATTCCAAAGTGGCGACTACGCCGTGCAATACCGCAAGAGTAGGATCAGGAGGCGGTCGGCGAAAGCGCCAGGAGGGAAGAGCCATGGACGCGGAGCTGCAAGCTGTGGCGATGGAGCTCAGCAGTAGCGACGCGAAGGACAAAGTCGCCGAATACACAGAGAGCTTCTCCAATGGAGGTTCTCATCCAACGTGTTTCGAAGTCATTCATCCGCCTCTCATTCATTCATCCATGATCATCCTATGTCAGTCGCTGATCTTCGTACTATAAATTATCCTATCCTTCATGATCTGATGCAAAATCATATCCACACCCTGAATCATGTGTCCTTCCAAATTTATACATTCTAATGACTTCTGGCATTCTGTATTTATTTTCCAGGACCGGAATGAACACTTTTTAAAAACCCCAGATAAGAAAGTTCATTTTTGAAAGGTAAACTTTCACCCTCAATATTGCTCATAAATTTTAACTGTAAAGAATTCCTATATGCTGAGCTACACAAGATTTTAAAACTTCATTTGTGACCCTTGGTCCTTTTGCAATAGATGTTTGAACCTCGCTTGTTCTATTCTGTCTTATGGACAGAAATATTGATTGATAATATATCTTCAGAACTTGAAGGTGCAAATAAGGTAAAGGAATAATTAAAATGAATAAAACATCTGAGGTTGTGAATGGCCTCTACGCACATGGAGTGAATCTATAAAGAGATCATTGTTTTATCATTGTAGCAATTATTAGTTAGTCACTATTACAAACCTCTCACTCTTCATAAAATTCAAAGACAAATTTGTACACACATACAGACAGAGACCCGAAGAATAATTTGTTGGGGAATCAATATAAATTTGTTGAAAGATCCCAAGTATACGTTGCACTTGATGAAACTGATTTGCGATACACATGGCAAAGAGTGATAATATTATTCTATACTATATTTTGCACAAATTGACGATTCCAACGTGTGATGAGGGATACTTTTAAACATCCATCAAGGAAGGAATAAGACTTTGGTCTGCAGACAAAATAAAACCGCAATAGGAACTTTGACCGCAATGGCATTCCAGAGCAAATTCCAGTGAGCTGTAACCCATGATTTCGTGGATGAAATATTTACCGAACGAATGATAAGTATTTCCAGAGAGCCACGTTGGAGTTGCCAGCTTGACGGGTAGTGTGTCCCCATCCGACGTGGAGAGTATCTACATGGCATAATTCAAATCGGGGGCGAATCCTACTCTGCTTTTGATTTAGGGGGTGGTTGTTGGATTTCGCAGTCCCCACTTAAAACCCTAAACCCTAAACCTCGAGATCTGGCCCTTGTGTCCGCTTCCGCTGAAGCTGAGGGCGTCTATGTCCATCGCCATCACTCATCAGCGACGTTGTTTCTCAGCTTGCCTCAAGAAGTGAAACCCTGTTTTTTTTTAAAAAATAAGAAATCGAGAGAAAACGTGACAGAATTGGGTGCTACACGATTATTTGTACGGTCTCCTCGTTGAATGCTAAAATTGGTGTCTAGGTTTATGCAATACTGAATAAAATAGACTATCACATTCTGCGGATAGAGTGTTCATTTTCCAATTGGCTACTCATGTTAAGTGCAAGTCGACTTTTCGACAGCGTGTGGCAAAATCAATCGTTCGGACGAATGTGCATGTGGACTTGATGGCCTTTGAATGTCTGCACCGCAACGAAAAGGTGTTAGTATCTGATTTCCAGGCTGCACACAGTTCCCTTCTGCAATCATCATGAAAATGTTTCGACGCGCTTAAGCTTGGAATTATTACCTGGTTGTACATGCAGTAGGGAATTCATTTTCAGTTGTCTCAAATCCCATGGAAAGGCACATGCAGAGCTGTGTAAAACATAGTGGCTGAGACTACCCTTTAGATTAGTTCTTTAATGACATTTAGTCATGGTGCAGGAACCATAAAACTCCAATTCGCTGGTCAGCTGCAATCTCAAGAGTGTGCTTTTGCACGGAAGGTTCCGGCTCAAGAACCAGAGATTGGAACTGTTGAGCAAATATATTGAGGCATTAGAAAACAAGAGAACAGACTATGGAAATCAAAATGGGCCATGGTTTGCTGACCATGGTGTTGACTTCGTAAACAAGAGCATGTAAGCAGAAAGCTCCGCACACTTTGTGATCTGCTATTTGAGATTTTGTATCCATCACTTATCTACTGAGGCTACCGTGGATTGTTGGCTGCGTTTACGAAGTAATTTTTCTTTCGGAGAGCTCTTACTCCACGATTAGAAATGTTATAGATCTAAGTAGCTGCAGATGAGCTTCAGGCTTTACAAGGAGAGTGCACAGTGTACTATACTGCTCTTTTCTGATAGAAAAAGCTGCTTTGTACTTTATCCATGCATGCAAAGATTCCTCAGCTCAGGAAGATCTCCTTTTCCGTTACTTTTTCTCTTCGTGCAGTTTATTAATGAACTGAACATGGACTTTCTGACAGCAGGTGCAATTGCTGATTTCCTTATGAAGTTGAATGCATGTTTTATAGTAGAGTAAGCCTTCACGTTTGTGATCGATGATCCTTTAGGCAACAACTTCATTGAGAACCCAGAATCACTTCCCAGTCTTATAACAGCTGCTGATTACTCTTGCTTGTTGAGTCCAAGGCGAGACCTTGAGACTAGTCTTTATGTCACGAAGATTTCACGCACTGTAGGTTACTCTCCACTAGAGGTAGATAATTTAAACCGAGAGGACTTGGTCTATTTGACCCTAAGACGTAGCTAAGAGCTTGCTACAATTACTGCAAAGCGTAGTGTTTAAAGCACCAAAAATGCCTTATGTACCCATCTAGCAGGTGAGCACCAAGTTCAGATCCCTACTTGTCAATTGTACCTTACAACAGCAGTCCACACCTGCGGCAGATAAATAACTAGGGCAGCAGCTAGTGATCTTGAAAGAGTGAACTATATGCCGACTCCCACAACGATGCTCCTTCATGATTCTGGGTGCCACACAGGTCCACAAGAAAATTACTCAGAAAAAATCTCCTGCCATAGCTGTCATTTGAGGAATACTCAGCAATTGACGAAGTTGGGATTTGTTTCTGCTTTTTTACTATTCTAAATCCCGTTGGCCTAACCGCCATTTCAAGCTAGAATATCCTGCAATTTTGTTTGCACCAATCTTTTTTGTTTGTAACAGGATCTGCACATTCTGGCAAATGCTGTAAGAGATTGTTGATTTTGAGGAGTTTTAATTTTCATGGCTCAAAGTCTACTAGCATCATCTTGCAACCATCCTAGTTCTTGAGAAGTGCATCTGGGCTGCAATTCTGCGTACTGATAAGCATTGGCCGAAGCCCTAATGAACAAGAAATCTGATGCTTTCAGTTGAAAGATACGTTATTTCAAGGAGGTTATCCATATGTGTAATGCTTGTGGGTATATGAATTCATAAGTGTAGATCTTTCTGCTCATACCATTCTTTTGTTTCTTACACAACCTTAATCTCGTTTTAGTGCTCGCTTAACGCTATATTCCTTGAGTGCAATGACTACCATTATTGTATGCTTCAAATTGTTAATATAAAACAGAACACTTATGTGAATGAATTTTATTTACATTCCTAAATGGACAACTCTTTCTGTCACCTGAAGTACCCGTCGTCTGTCCAAGTTTTGCAGACTGAGAAATAAGACCGACTAAGCAATGTACTAGTAAAAGTGTGGCAACTCATCTGTGACAGTTTCGTCTGCAAGAAGATTGTAGCAACCATTCTTTCAGAGTTTCATTACGATTCTTTCAAGGTCCGAGAGTTAGCTCCGCTGAAGCCGGTGATAAATCCTACATTGGCAATGTCCATCGTCATAGCCGTAGGGTTTTTCTTTATTTCAAATCCTCTTGCGCTAAAACAGAATTAGATTTCGTCCACAATTATGGCGCGGAGTGTATGCCTGCTGCCTTAACCATGCACCACATTCAGAAACCTGCCCTCAACCACCGTTGCGGTATCACCCATGTTGTCCCCCAAGATGTAATACCCTGTGTTCATCTTCTGCAAAGTCGACAAGCATTACCAGAACCATCGCCGCTACCCTTAACAGCAAGGAGCTCGCGTTGTGTACAAATTTGCTTGGTAGAAGGCATCCCTTTCTGGGAAGAGTATAATTATATAACTATGTATTCCTCTGTTTGGTAATGGGCCTCGTCTCGTTCCTTATTCAACCTCATTACTACAGATAGTTCGGAGATGTCTCGCGTGTATCATAAATCGGCTCCCTCTCTCGTTAAGATGCTGCTTCTCAGCGGCATCAAACATTGCAGCAAGTACGCCGATTCTCCATGGAACCACGGATTAGTGGAGGCTTTCGAATATGAATCCTGGAACGTTGTGAAATGAGATGAAAGGATTCCAGAATGCTCAAGTGATTAAGTATGCACAAAGAAGAGAAAACAATCCCAGATAAGGTCTATTGAGTACGAGTAAATAAGGCTTCTTTTTGTAAAAAAATATCTTACGTTGCTAGTTCTCTAGAGATATTCAGTACCCTTGGCGGTGCACAACGAATTGACACCATTGTGCACCAAGAAACTGCAATCTCTGTTCACAATGGTCCCCGCTACGAAACCATATATATATATATATATATATATCACCGAGATGGGCAACACAAAACCTACAACTTCTTTTTGGCAACTAAGACGCTCCCAGTCAAAGCCACACATCTGCTGAATTCCAGTTTTGAAGTTCACATGTGTGGAGGGCCATGAAACACGTTCTTCAGTCGGGTATGCCAAAAGTAAGTGCCAGAATTACGTATGTTCATAGGAGAAAGTCATGGTCTAGGTTGCACTGGTAGCACGGTCAGACAATAAACCTCGCTCTTGTCCGGGAAGTGATCCATGAGAAGAATATCGGGATTGTCATTGAGCTCGTCTATGTAACCGAACCAGTAGATGACCATCCCCGGACCAAACCTGTTCACATAACTGAAGCCATGGTTTTCGTAGGAGATTTAGATACTTGTTCATTGTTAGAAACCTTTCGGCACCATAAATGAGCCAGCCAAGCCAAACGTAATCTACAAATATTGGGGGAGGCTAAAATTCATGCTGCTAACCATAGAAGGGACAAGCACAGACATCGATTCGAAAACATATCTGCTAATTATGCACGAAAAAATTGATTCATTGTTGCTGAGTTATCGAAGAGTAAGATTGGCCACCTCTGAAATTGGTCACTGCCTTGCGTTTTGTGGATATGTTCATCTCCGAATGACGCTTTACTGTCTATCCAGTTCACCATACGACCACGCACGCCTATAGGGGCATCCAATTTCACGTCTGGGGTTTTGCTAAAGCCCGCTGCCCTCAAATCGTCCTCAGATTGGTAAGAAATACCTAAGTCGCTTAGTTTCTCATACAACAAGATTTCGTATCTGTAATGCCGATGTTAATGTATGAGTACGAGCTCTCAAGGTAATAAGATCTTAAGCTGCAAAAGACACTCAAGCAATTAGCCTCGGCCAGCAGGACATCATTCGTATGCTGAGTGGCGGTACATCTCCAATTTTGTGCAAATATACACGAGTTCTAATTTATTTCATTCTGCCGGTATATGCTATCAAACCAGAAAATAGAGAATGCCAACCCAGTTTATCAAACTTACTCCAATCCTGTGACTCTTCGTATAGTCTCTACCGCAGGAGAACTCACGGGGTCATTGTCGATGCAACGAAACACATCTGCACCGAACCTAGCCCTCGAAACTGTAGCAGTGCTTTCTCTGTTTGCAGCCATCTGCGCCTTGATCAGTATCGAGGATTCTGGCAGATAGGATGGATCCTTGAGACAGGCGCTTACTTGGTGCTTTTGCAAGCCTGCCAAGTGCTCCAACAAGATTCGCATCAGAAGGCAGGGGGGGATATCATATGTCCTGCTGATCTCCAATATGTCCTCCCCAGCTGTATACCTAATTGAGGATTAGAGCAAGTCAGCCAAGTTCGGACCAATGTCCAGAATGGATTTTTTCAAAATGTCAAGAAAGAGCATCATGTACGTGAGGGAGAGTAGATATTGGAGAACTTAGGGATTGCACTGGAGCATTCTCAATCACACACCTTGCAATAAACTCTTGGATACGTTGCCTCGAGCGAAACTTATGATGCTGCATCCGAATGTGGCGCGAGGCTTCCTGCGACTTTATAGCCACCACAGTATCGAATTCCACCCAAGGATACTTCTCATTAACAGCTTCCAATGTATTCTTGTCATCTTGTAATAGAGCCTGCCGAAGCTCGGCGTACAGAGCTGCCTTCATGCTGAACCCAATGCGCTCAAAAGGTGCTAAATACCACCAAATAGTCGCATTCGATCTACCAAGAACCGGATGCAAAGCATGCAACAATATCAACACAAATCCACCGCTCAATCAAACATGGTTCCTACCACCACAACCCTATCGTACAAAAACAAACTCCGTTTCTGAACTCCAATCAGAATCCCTCCAGTGCAGCATGCCCACTCCTTCATCGCACGAAATCGAACAGAAACAGCAAGAACCGGCTCACTCAATCAAACTCAATTGCCACTATTCCCTTCATAGCATCCCATGCTCACAAACGAATGCCCTCACATTACCACCAAAACCATCGCAAAGCTATTCAATGGTCCCCTTCTTGGCATACCCTAATTTCAAGCGCTACACGAAACAATGTGTCCAGCAGGAATCCCGAGCGCCATGCTCTGTTGCGTTCGATCCCTCAATAACTTCTGGTAGCATAGCTATCGAAACTACTGGAGGTACACTGGCTCAGCCGAGAATTGGCAAGTGGGTACTTGATCAAAAGCACGAAAATGTTTTCAATTACCACAACAAACACAACGCTTGCTTGCAACAGACAGAATTCTAAGAAGACGTCGAGAGATTTGCTGAAGACAATTTGCCTTCGCCCGCGCAGACGCGATTCTTCCTCCTTCCAGTAGTCCGGCGGAGATAGGCGGCGTGGAGAGGCGGCGGAGACAGGCGACCAAGTCCCCTAAACCCGATGGTCTCACTGGTGTGAACACCACTATCTAAACTACAAATTGGACCATGCTTTTGAAATGTGGGTTTTTGGGTTTTGCAATCACATATCTTTCCACGATAAAAGTTCAATAAACTACTGTTGTATCATGTGATTCAACTAATAAGATATTTGGTTTTGATATTTACTGATAAGGACATGCACACATGTATGCAAGAATCTAAATAAATAAATAAATAAGTAAATAAACAAATAAATCCATTGATTATTATTCTTTTCAATACATATTATTTCATGTGTTTTTTAATTTAAAATTAAAAAGTTACTATCAAATTTTATTTTATATATTTATTTGTATTCTTATTTTGACTTTGATATACTCTTGCTTATTAATTCCATAAGTCTATTCCTATGGTCTTCTTTGTGTGAGAATGTTTATATAAGTTTGAAATGTCAGGCTATATTTCTGATAAAATTGACTAATTTTAAGAACATGATAATATAACTCTATATTTATACTTTCATTTCTAATATAAGCTTCTTAAATTTGTTTATTTTCATCCTGTTCAATCTTTTTAATTCAGATCTAAGTGTAGAAATACAAAAATTACAGTTAGTTTAAATGAAACAAAAGACATCTGATTTATTTGTATAGTTCATATTTTTAGGACACTGTACAACTTTAATGTGTTTTTTGTAAATAAAAAATTAGAAATCTAGAGTTCAAGATTCAAAAATTTTAGTGCTGAAAATTGATTATTTTTCAGCATTATCATTTCATAATAAAAAGAAAAAGAAAAAGAAGCCAACTTCTAAATGCAATTACCTCCAAGATTATCTCATGGCATCATTCGTATTTGTTAGAAGTGGTTCATTACTGCATTTCTAAAATAGAAATACAAAGAACATGAATGAATGAACAAGCTGGTATTAATTGCAAAAAAAATTATTTAAAAGATACGTGCAACTAGTTTCAAATTAGTAGACATATGTATGGAGTGGTAGAAATACCAGATTTAAAGAAGTTCAACTGATAATGGTACGTGTTTAGGGGTCCAACACAAACGAAAACTTTAGGGAAATCTGGTTGGCTTCTGATCTTACTTAATGGATAAATCGCTGTGCAGCAGACAGGTATAATATCACACCATGAGCCTCCACTCTTCCTATCAGAACCTTTAGTTCTTCCACAGAAACAAGACTCCCAGGTCTAGACGTTACGACATAAGTCTCCAAGTAGACGCAACTCTGCGAAGGTTGACTAACAAGTGTTGTGTCAAGTGCTAAACTGAGATACGATGATAGTACCTCAATAATCACCCACTCATGGCAGCGGTCAAAAAGCTTGAAGTGATTAAACAGAACAAATGTCGGTTGCTTGATCTCACCAAGCCTTCGATGCAATAAATGAACTTGAATCTGAGCCTCAGAGTCGTGAACGTGACATTGACCTGCCTTCTCGCTGTTGAACTGGAAGCTTCAACTCTTTTTCCCCTCGATGGAATGGCGCAAAAATGTCATCCACCGTTTCTGTTGTAACCCCTGCCAAAGTCGGAGGGTTCCACTGCAGAAAGAAAATGGAAATACTCAGAGAAAAATTGTACTAGCGATGAACATTGATCAGCGAGCAACAATCAAGGTTAAAGAACGCTACGCTAAAAGTGAAGGATAGTTCCACAAGTGAAAGAAAACATTTCCCCTCAAACTCGGAAACTGGGGTTGTACGACATTACGAGATCAACACATTTACACAGAAGAATATGAAATACTTCTTCCCATATTGCGTGCACACCTTGCAAACATGACCATATAAGTGAGGACTTTGTCAATCTATGCACAAGACCTTGGAACAGCCCACCTCTCTCCCAAGTCAGCATCTGCCAGTCAAGCACTTCTGCGAAGTGCTAGGGCACCCAGCAGAACTGATTATAACAAACGGACAAGATACCGTTCATGAAATGTAAACCATCGAAAGCCAACTTGAAGTTACAAAAACAAAATTAGACCCTCAGCTTCACCAAGTCATTACAAGTTGACCAATCGGTTAAAAACTCCCCATTCACAATCATGATATAGGTTATGCCGTAAATTCACGTTCTTCAAACAAGGTGTGCACGTCAATAAGCGCACACCTGGCAAAGTTTTTCAAACAAGATACCTAAGTTTGAAGGATACCTGAGGCTTATTATCCTTGTCTACCAGAAGGGCTCGACAACCCTGTCATAAATATAAGGAAAGTTGATTAACCACGTACAAAAACGTATAAGAGTCTTTCCAACAACACAATTGAGAAGAGCATGCAACCAGATTACCACGTTCATTGCAGTTGCATCTATCCAGGCAACAGCTTGAATTGGCAAAATATAAGTGCTACTAATAGAAAAGGTCTTACCTCATAGAAATCCGTAGAATGTGTTGCATTAACAGCATGGACTGAGAGTCGATACTCACGCTCCAAGCATTGAAAGAGGCTCTCTTGTTTACCTTGACGAATCTGACGCAGGATTTGTGAACAAGACAGAGAGCACAGAAAAAATCAAGAGAAATTCTTAGTGATCATAACTGCTACCCTTTGCACAGCATACAGACGTAGACATAAATCTACAAATTCACAACAAGATTCAATTACAACCTTGAATCATCTCACAACAATACCCTCCTGGACCAGGATACTGGACTCACAGATCTCAGTGTTACTTTCAAACTGATGGGAGATACTTTCTTCATTATAGCCAACGTTTCTGAGAACCACTCATCATCAGAGGATGCAGCTTTTGCTTCCTGCATACAGCAAAACATAAGCTAATAAGAACATGGGAATATTGTGAGCATGTCGCTCAAGAAATTGACATTCTAACTGGAACCTAGACTTAATTATAACCCTGCTACTCATGTGCACTAGTGACATGGAAAGAAATCCTACATAGCTCTAAGAACTTGTATCATAACGAGTTTTCGAAATAAGACCTAAGGTACTAAGATAACTTTCTAAGGAGATTCTAGTGAATAACAAGCAGATGATGAACTTACAAGGGTCTCTACAATCTCCTCCACTGTTTCTTTCCCAAAACATTCAGCGATGACGTCCCTCCTTCACATCCAAACATAATTAACCAAATAACATTAACTCCCAATGCAACAAGTATCACTTAAAAATGTACCACAATATCTTCAAAAGCCATAAAACAACCAAATTATCGCATACCGGTGCAACGGGCTCTTGTCTCCGGGGTATACAACATCACAGAATTCGTCAATAGCAGTGCCCACAACCCCTGCATCCCCGGTGTTGAGACCACCAAGTCGATCTTCCAAATCAGCCAAACGCTGTAACCAAGTGTGAAAATTTAACTGAATTGAGACCACTGCACCAATAAAGTTTGAAATACGTAGTTCTTAACGAAGCATTAAATATGTGTATCATGGGGAAAAATCGTACAGAATAAGAAGTTGTAAAACAAGTCACCTGAGAAGGCACAAAGTGTGTGGCAAGACCACAAGAAAGTAAGTCTGCTCCATCCAAACGGGTCCCTGTGAGACCCAGGTATTCACCTGCCAAATTCATCAAACTGCTTAGAGAACAACCATTACCTTCATCACTAAGCTTCCAGATATAACAGGTGCACACCTTAGTATCATGACCGCACGTGAGATCTCATGTGATGTACCTAACCTTTGATGGATCCAAAAAGCCCAACACTCAACGTGTCGATGAAATCTAATAATTTTTTCTCTTCAGAAAAGAGAGTATGTAAACATATCGAAAACCTTAACCAATTCTAGAAGCAGCAAACACCAGAACTTCCTCCAAGAAATATGCAATGAATAAATTGCAGAAATTTATTAAAAAGATTTTAGCATAGCTGTACCTAAATGGCCCCGCAATCTTGAGAGAAAATACGACGCCCCAACATCAGGATGAAGGCCTATGGCAGTTTCTGGCATAGCAAATAACTGAAACCGATGCACAACAACCAGTAAATTATTCTTTGCCAATACTCTACACAACGCAACCAAGGTTTCCTTCTAAAAAGCACAGACAACGCTAAGATGAAAAGCAATCCCAACCTAAATGTCCCAAAGTTTACAAACAGATATTTAAGCAGAATATCAGTTCAAGCATGTTCTCACTGTATTTTCAGTGGCAACTCGAAACTTTCCATGCATAGAGATGCCGTTACCTCCTCCCATACATATACCATCTAGAAGAGCCACCTGCGATTTCGTTGCAAAGAAAATACTGGAACTTAATGATAAGATACATGGATAAATCAAAAGTTAAGAAACAAAACAGATTAGCTTTTGCGCTAAATCCTGGCAGCTAAACTTGCACCTTGCTGATCAACTTGGCCATTCGCAAGATAAACAAATCGATCTCATCGACTGGGTTTACATACATGAATTTTCTTGTAGGTTCCCAAAATATAATTGAGATGATACTCTTTGTAAAAGAACGCATTACCGCGTTCCTGTTGACCTGTATGTCAATCAACAAATGCACCATCATTATAACACCCGTATGATGGTATGCTTAATTTGTCAGTACACGGTGATGTTTAATTTGATTTTCAGACGGCTAAATGTGGTCAACCAGAGCATCTGCATACTGACCGGCCTTCCCAAGATGATATACCGTCGCTACATCACCTCCTGCACAGAATCCCCGTCCCGCACCCTGGAGAACATTCCACATGAAATCGTTTTGCCGTAATCAGACCTCGCTTGAATGATTTGAAATTTTGAAGAGTCCCATTTGCAGGTTATAAGCTTGAAGATGGGAAGAGGAAAACACTTTCGGTGAACAAAGTAACGCATGGTGGGCCCCTCATCCCAGGACTAAAACTATCTTTCATGCCATTCATTGAATAGTGATCAGGAGGCTCAAACTTGATAACACACTATTAGCACTGCACCCATTGTGCAAATGTTAAAAATCGACGAGTTTAATCACAGAGAGTTGCATTTAGACCGTTCGAGTTGTTGATGTGAAACCAAATTAGTTAGCTATATGGCTGCAGGCATCCTTATTATTTATTTGTATATTTGACGAATACGAGGAAAAGAGCGACAAGGCAGAAGGAATACTTACTGCAAGGATAACCATGCGCACATGCTTGTCATTTTCCCATTTTACGTAAAGCTCCAGCAGTCGATCAATCTGGTCAATGACAAGCTGGAGTGAGAATCTCCAAGATTATCAGACCGGATCATGATCACCTGTAAATTATTCCATCACAGCTGACGACAACCCAGCTCTACTTTAATTGCTCAACAAGTCTAAATCAAAGCAGATCATCTAAGTGTTCTCAGGAAATAAGTGACGTACAAATTAAGTAACGCCGATACTACTTTCTGCTTCGTAATCAGTCATCATCACAAACGCTAAGCCCAAATCACGTAATGAAAATAAGGACTTCTTTACCATATTCTCGTTGACGGCATTCAGCTTCTTCGGCCTATTCAGGATGGCAACTTTTGTGGCGAAGCCATCTTCAGACAATACCTGCCGTAGGCACCAATTCAGAGCTTAACAATTCTGTAAGTGCCATGAAACTTGCGCTCTACTGAATCATCCCGTCATATCGAATGCTTGTCCGAACAAATTGTTTAGACTAGACGATCTATTAGCAATTCACCCAATACATAGTAAGTTTTCTATTGAACCCAGCTTTGAGCATAAAATGAATAGCTTATCATTAGCAAAATACACAACTAGCATAACACATTCACATGTTATTCTCGTCAAGCCTTACAAGAAACTCTCGTCTTCAGCAGTAACATAGGGGAATGGCCACTGAACTCACAAGATTGATCGAAAACTTAGTACGGACGATTCAATTCACAACTTGAAACATATCCATTGTACCTCAATACTCACAATTTAGAAATTGTTCCCGCTTAATAGAAATAATTTACCACTCCAAGTTCCAATCAACATGGCCGGTGTCCGAGAAACAACGATCTAACTGGCTATCACGCGGCGTCCATACAAATCTGCAGTTCCGACTGCACGCTACATTTCATGACCACGCAACAGATCCACAAAGCAAAGCCCCAGAGCAATCGATCCACAATTCATCACAAGATTACGTCCAAACAACAATTATCATCAAAGGGTGCAAAATAAATAAATAAATCCCCCACACCGATCGAACCACCTCGATCATCAACACTCACCACCAATTCTCCAAAACTCCTAAACCTCACCCCAACAACCCAACAATCCCAACCCAATACCTCGTCATCAGAGGGCACCGCAGTCTTGGCATTGACAGCAACACTCAGGGTCCGAGGGGGAGCCATCACAGACGCAGCACCCACACGCAGAGTTCCGTGCGACCCCAGCAGCGAGGAGCACAATCCTGCCAGATTCTGCAGCCCTAACACCATCGCAAAAAATGTCCCCTCACACCTCTCTCTCTCTCCCTCTTGCTCCCTATACGATGCTCCCTGCAGCGGTGTTGGGTACGGGGAAGACGCAACCTCGCGAGGAGAGAGGCAGCATCACCAACACATCACCTCGCTGAAGTGGCTCAGCTTCAAAAGTGGCGGCTGTCGGGCACTTCCGTGCCAAATCCTCCGTCGAATTGGCACTCAATATTTTTGTTCTTTTGTTCTGTGAAGTATTTGGTTCTTATCTTCCACTTCTTCTTCTTCTTCTACTTCTTCCTCTTCATCTGCCATGCCATGAATTAATTTATCGCCCCTTCAGATTTCACTGAGATCCTCGCGGGGGGCGGCATCGTCGTGGGCTGACTTGTCGTGAGCTGGTGGACATGGTTTGTGACTCACATGCACGCTGTGACTTTGGATCTGTTCACACACGCCATACCCCCCGGTTACTCTGTTCACACCGTTGTACTTGATTCTCCGTTCACACTGTCCACCCCCCTTATATATATATATTTTTTGTGTTCACACAGTCACTCTTACCAATCTGTTCACACCGGTACACTTGATTCTCTGTTCTCACTGTCACCCCTGCGTCTTTGTTCACACAGTCACTCTTGATTGTCTGTTTACACTTCTGCACTTGTATCTCTCATCACATTGCTAGTTGCAGCAACCCTGTATCTAATAAGGAACCAGTTGAAATTGTACTTCAAAGTCTCCCCTCTAGTTTCTTGAATTTTTGACAAAACATATTATCAAAAATGGCAGATGGAGAAGCCAGACTTCTACAGGAAGATGCGTGGCGATTCTCAACCCAAGGCAAACAGGACGAGGTTCTCATGGCTCACTTCCAGCAACACGACTTCAAACCCTAGCCCCGAAAAAATAGATACTATCAACAGCGTCCACCGTATTGAGGAGGATCTCAAACATACCGTCCATTGCAACTCAGGCAGAACACATACAACGTCAGTGATTTGGAAGTGAAAGCTGAAAAAATCCAAGTCAGATCCACAATACAACAGAAGGGTGTTTCAAATGTGGATCACCCAAACACCTTACACAAAAATATCCAATACCATTGCTCAAACAACAATTATGGGACATAGAAATTCAAATTTCTCGACTCCAGAAAGGTGGACGTTCATATGCTCACTCTACTGAAGTGAACAAGGATGAAGAAACACCCAATAAAGAAACTCCAAAGACTGGCGTTGCCAAAGTAATGGACATGTGCATGGTCGAACTCAACCTCACACAACCCGACCACAACAGCTGGTACATCGACTCAAGGGCAAGTCAACATGTAACTGGCAACCCTGAGCTGTTACACTACATTAGTTCAAAGAGAAAATCAAATAGCATTAAAACAATGCCAGGAGAATTACTTTCCATAAGTAGAAAAGGAGATGTTTACTTCTACTTGGGAGGAGAAATAAAACAAGTACCCAAGGTTCTCTACGTCTCTTGTGTCAAAAACTACATATGCTTAATTGAAATTTTTATAGACAAGGGACACTACATAGCATTCAACTCCAAATCCAAATGGTGCATTATTTTCTATAAAAAAAATCCTTGCAACATCTACTTATATTCCAAAAATAAATTATATAAAGTAGTTACAAGTAAAGCACAACTTGCCGAGTATTCAGAACAACAACACTTGCCTACTATATAGTTTGTAATTAATGAAAACAATACATTGCAACTTCTAAACACAGCGACTACATAGCTGACATCACTTAACAAAATTCAACTCTGGCATAAACACATATATAGTTTTAAAAAAAACTAGTTTTTCAAAGAATTCTAATATGTTTGTATCTTTTGCAAATATTATTAATATTATTAATGATATTCTTAAAACTTGAGCTATGTACTAGAAGCTAAAATTAAGATAATTGAGAGGATTTTTTTATATAATAATTTATTTGTATCTATATATATATATATATATATATATATATATGAAAATGATAAATACACCTAAATTTTTACTAAATCATCCTAACCATCAAAAAAAAAGAAAAAAAGAAATATGACACATGCCTTTGAATTTTTTTAAAAAATCAAGAATATTCTTTAAGTTTTGATAATTTCACACATACCTCTCAACTTTGTAAAAATTGAAAATTTGTCCTTTTGGACTAATAACCTATCTAATCTTCTTTTTTTTTTTTTTTTTTTTTTTTTTTTATATATTTTTTACTAGAGTCCAATGTAGCACTTTTTTGTAGTGCTCGAGCCTTATGGAAATTTCTTGTCCCTCCTTTCATTGTAGTCCCAAAACTCTTATCTATGTAACAAGGAGTAGTAAGGTAATCTCCTCCTTTTGTGTTATAATACAACTATATGATAAAAATATGAAAAAATAGATGTTATTATAGAAGAGACTAGTAAAAAAATGTAGTAGAAAAAAAAATGATAAATTATAGAAAGGTGGTAAAAAGTTTAATCTTAATGCTGCCTTTTGTAGAAAGAACTTCTATTTATTTTGTAGAGGCATAAATAAACCAAATCAAAGTAAATATGATAAGAAATTGATATAGACATATTTAAGAAAGAATTAGCAATAGATTAAAGGAAAAACTTATATCAAACTACTAAAATTTAATACTTGGAGAAGATTAGTTGTTGTCAAGGACATGAATCTCGAAAAAAGAGAATCTTCAATACACTCTTCTATCACTAAAGAGAACTAAAAAGTCACTCAAAGGTGATATAATATTAACTAGAATGGCTATTATCAAAAACAAAAAGACTGAAAAGTCTTGAAATAAGACCAAGACTAGAAAGGCATTGACAAGAGTGAAGAAGGCTTCACTCTTGCCTCCATATATACTATCTAACTAAGAGCCATATGGCGATGTCCTATAGGACCTCCAACATGTGTTGACTTTATTAGCCACATGTCTTTTCTTGCAAGGCAAGTTATCTAGGTATGTGCCGCGTAGTTGGCTTGTTCTACAAGCTACCATACAGAGGTAACTTGTTCCATAAGCTACCAATACATGGTTAGCTTTTTGGCCAAGTTTCTAACCTACGAACACATCTAAAATCAAAATCACATCTATGAAGCTTTTAGAAAGCTTTTTTAGAAGACTTTATGAAATTATTCTATTTTATCTACTTCTACTTAATCATATAAGTAACTATTGAGGTAAATATATATGTCCGTGACATTACCCTCCCTTCCAGGGATGAGTTCCACAACCTTCATATGTTGAAGAAGTTCAAGATGCGGCAAATTATATTTGCTATATACTCCGATCTTTGCTTTCTTCAAAGATGCTTAATAGGTCCTCTCAACCATCTACAGTATCCCATATTAGGGCGAGAAGACCACCCTATTATTTGGTCATTATTAAGGCCTTCATAACTTCTTTCAAATAAAACATTTGGAACACTATCAGGAGTAGTTTCTACCTCTAATAAAATCACCAAACATCGGGATTCTCTTCCAAGGTCGTGATACTAAACACGTTGTATCTTGCCATCTATTCGAGGAAGGACATGTTGTTCTTGAAGATCTTCATCTCGATTTTGTCGTCTTGAAGGTTGTGACAATCATAATATCTTGTCTGGTAAGTCCGCAAATGAAAGCTCTTGAGTTGAATCTGCTGGTTGTTGGTGCTCCATCTCATCACAAATACATAGAAGCTACAATGAAAGATAGAAGGTAGAATGTTATTTTCTTTTTATCTTGTTTCTTTTATAGCAAAGATTTGCTATTCTTCATCTTGGTTTCGATAGATGTCATTGATGAAAGACTTCAACTTTCTTTGCTGCATTTACAAGATTCTTTAATGGCTCCCATGTGCATTCACTAATATTTTATCCGTGTCAATGAACAAGATATTCCAACCTACTTTGGCGCCACCTTGAGTCTAAGACTTCTTCCACCTCAAAATCTTGGTTATTATCCACTTATATAAAAAGAGGTGGCATTTGTCTTCTTCTAAAGATATTCACTATTTTATATGGCTCCAAAAGAGACACGTGAAATACAAGGTGGATCTTCATAGACTTTGATAGATGTAATTGATAGGCAATAGAATTGATTTATTCACAAATAGAAAAAGGTCCGAGCCTACAATAATTTAATTTATCACAAAGACGAGTAGTCTTGATATTACGACAAAGTAACCATACCTTGTCGCCCATATTATATTGTGGTTACTCTTTGCGATAGGCATCTGCATTGGTCTTTTGTCGTTCTTGAGCTTCCTTTAATTGTATCTTCATTGTTGTATGTAGCTCTGATAAGCGATTTGTTAAATCTTCCGCCATAAGATTATCAATTTTTAAAAAGTCAAAAGTATCAAGATGTCGGTGATGACCATAATTGGCAAAGAAAGGTGTTTATTGAGTAGAAGAATGTACCAAATTATTATATGCAAACTCTGCCAATGGTAAAAGAATTGTTTAATCATCTTGATGATAGTTGATGGTACATGTCAAATACTGCTCCAAAACTTGATTTACCCGTTCTGTTTGTCCATCAGTTTGAGGATGAAAAGATGAAGAAAGCTTTATATCCACTTTTAGAATCTTGAATAGGGTTCTCCAAAATCTTGATATAAATTGAGTCCCCCTATCTGATATAATATCCTTTGGCAATCCATGATAGCGATAGATATTATTAATGAAAAGCTTAGCTGTTTCTTCACCTGTAATAGATTTTGTACATGGTACAAAATGTGCCATCTTGGTAAAACGATCTACTATCACGAATATAGAATCATAAGAACTTGAGATTGGAAGATCCATGATGAAATCCATAGAAACAAAAGACCATGGTTGTTCTCGAATAGGTAATGACTGAAGATGTCCGTAAGGTCGATGACGAGGAGATTTTGATCTTGAGCAAACATCACAAGATTGTACAAAATCTTTGACCGCCTTCCACATTTGTAGCCACCAAAAATCCCTGGATATTAGTTCTAAAGTTTTATTGTATCGAAAGTGTCCTGCTGCTGGAAAGTCATGATGAGTTTGAAGAACATGTAATTGGGCTTCACCTTTTAGAACATATAGGCATCCTTTGAAATATAATAGATTATTCTTGAATTTAAACTTGAAAGTATCATGGGACTTAGAGGAAGTATCCTTGATATCTTGAATAAGAAGATCAGAGGACATATTTGATTGAATTTGCTTCACAAATATTGAATCAATAATCAATGTTGATTTTATAGCTCGAAGATGAAAATCCTTGGACTTCAAGAGAATTGATCTTTTTTGATCAAAAGATGCATCTCTTTCTTTTGGTGCAAGATAAGAATGTTTAGAAAGAGCATCCAATAGACCTTGTTGTTTTTTGGGTCGATAAGTGATCTTAAAATTGAATCTAGATAAAGACATGCTCCAACAGACTTGACGATGATTCAAGACACATGCTGACATAAAGTAC